TGTGTGTGTGTGTGTGTGTGTGTGTGTGTGTGTGTGTGTGTGTGTGTGTAGCGAGGTGAGGTGCACATGTGGCCCATGGGTTCCGTGACTCTGCTTGTCTACACTGGGGGCTGGTGTCCTACAGGTCTGTTTACCAGTGAGCAGTTGTCACTGCCACCTCCTGGAAAAATGGAATGCCCCAACCTCAGAGCGGGGTATAGGTGAATGTCTTCAGTTTTTCTTTTTGTGTCTAGGTTGGGATTCTAGACAAATATTTGCAACTCTCTGGAGCAGGAAACTGTTCTGTTCACAGGCAAGGTTCGTTGATGCCGGAATCTTCCTCTTCTTCCACTTTGCTCCCTTCCTTTTTCCTGGAGGCTCAGAGTTTAGTTTGCTTTCCTTTTGCTCTCTTGGTCTGGGGTCTCTGTTCTCCCCTCTGGGGCCCTGCTTCTGAAGGTGAGGGAGCCAGTGGGCTCTGCCTCAGACCAGAATGTGCTGGCCTTTTTTCCCTGGGGCTCACTGAGGCTTTGGAAGTAGGAGGCTGGCAGGAGAGAGAGTTCATGGAGAGGCCACGTTTTCTAGGCGATTAGCTCAGTATTAGAACCACAAAATGACCTCGGAAGCCCCTTGACCTCTCTGAGACTGGACATTGTGTTGGCTCTTGCCTCCTGCCCAGAAGGGAAAGTCACACCTCCGCAGGGAGGGGTCCTTGGGCTGTTGTATGTCCCATCTTCTCCACCCCCCACCAGCCCCCCCCAACCCCTTCTTTGCTATCTTGAAATTTCTGGATTGTTTTTCTGTTACTGTCCATTGGGGAAAAAAGGAACAAAAAAATTTTTTAGCTCGTGTGGGGGAGGGAAGTAGGGTGCTGGTCTCTCTCTGTGCAGAGCTCCTTCCCTCAGGCAGACTCACCCTGCCATCCATGTCCAGTTCATCCCTCCTTCTTTCCTGTTTTGTTGGAGGGAGCTGAGGGAAGAAAGACAAAGGGAAGCAGATATGAGCGGTCCAAGGGCTTCAGAGGGCTAGGGGGACAAACCCCTGGGTCCTAAGGAGACACAGGGCCCCCATTGTGGTTACTGTCTCTCGAGGTCTGTTATCCAAATCCACAAAATCTTAACCCATTTTCTGAAGTCCCTTTGTTTAGGAAGCTATTTCTATAATCACTCTCACCCCTTCCCCACTCCCCAATCCCACCCCAGCTACTCACAGAGCCCACGGGGTACCTCCCCACCAGAGGAGCAAGAGAGATGGGAGAAGGGTCAGTGCAGGCTGTTCTGACCATTGCCAGGGACAGCTGTGCCATGTTAACCAAAGTTTCCAGCAACTTTCGAGAGATGTATGGAGGATTTGCTAAGAAGTGAACACTGAACACAGAGCCTTTTCAAATCTATATTCTACTTGCTGTATCTTAAAAATCTACACCAGCAGCCATCCTCTTAGGAGGGGATAGAGACAGATAGACACACAGACAGACTCCAGCTGGGAAGAAGGAAGTGTTCCCTTGAGTTAAGACTAGGAGAGAAAGAAACTTGCTGGGATGTATGTGGGGTGTTGGTTTGCGTTTTGTAAATTGTCTCCTATGTCTTGGGGACTGTCTCAGGCAAGAAATAACTGGTGTTGGTTGGTATCCTCTCCTTTGTCCCTGGGAGGTTTAATAAATGCAGGAGCTGGAGGCCTTGGTAAGAAAAGAGAGCGAGCAGAAAGGCAAGCTGGACTGCTCCTGGGATGAAAATATTTGGGGCGATGTACACCCATAACTCATAAGGGCAGATAACCAGTTGTGAGCCCTCTATAGGCTCAGGTGATAAAGATCTAGTCACCTGAGTCTTTACAACCTGCTTTCTGCAATGTGAGGATTAGAGGTCCACCAAAGGGAAAGAGGAGGAAAACAATGGGAAGAGAAGGTTGGGGTTCCTTTGAGCCCCACAGGTGGGAACTGAGGGACCTTCCCCCTCCCTCACTCCCAGACCCCAACCTCTGCAGAGCTGAGTGCTGCGGGCATGCTCCCCAGCCCCTTGGGCTCACCTTCTACAATTCTAGCGGCCACCTCTATCCTCCGAATCTTTGGACCTCTCTTCCTCCAGTTCCTGGGCCCTCACCACCCTCGCTCCTACTTGCACCGGTCTGGGCAGAGTAGGGCTGCCGGGTCCTGCCAGAGCCTGTCGCCGCCGGGGCAGCCCTAGCGCCCGTGGTGGGTCTCCCTGGGAAGCGGCGGCCCGGGAGGGGGGGTCTGGTTGGAAAGCGGAGTTGGGAAGTTTCCCAGCGTGAGTTGAGCGCTGACGGATTTGTGATCGGCCATAAAACAGGCGCGTTCAGATTCGTAAATCAATCTCGCCTTTCTCACAGTATAAACGTTCGCTTTATCGGCAGCAAGAAAGCACTCTGCTCACGCCCGGGCGCTTGTTTATTTGAACATGGACATTCCCAGGATCCGAAGAGTGTGGGCATTTTAATAGAACCTGCCCGGCGTGCCTTCGTGTCACCGGCTTTTCTTTTGCTCGTCCTTAAAAATAATTTCTCCGTTTCAGAGATTGCTGTCTTCCCATGCTCCAGCATATTCTCTCTCCTCTTTTCTCTCCCCCACCCCCTCACTCCCCACGCCCTAGTATTTTTCTTTTAGACTTTAGTGGACTGCTTTCCTTTGGGGGACCAGTTTTAATGGATTTCTGGCCAGGACCATGCAGGGAGTTGCCCTCATGGGAGCCGGGCGCGGGGCTGAATTCAATACCAGCCTGGGTTTTGTATCTGCACAATCAAAGCCGACCACCCCCCTACAGAGCCCAGGCCCGCCGGCGCCCCCACCCGAGGGCTGGGAGAGGGATTCTGAAGGGACCAGGCCGGCCCAGTGCCCGAGGCAGGGGCTGCGCTGCCGCTACCGCTGGACCGGACACCACCCGGGGGTGGCGGTTTCTTCGGGGGTGGTTAGGGCACCTGGGTCCTCAACCTTCTCCCCATCCAGTCGCTTTTGGTTCAGACCCCTCCAAACAAACCGCTGACGGCCCCTGGGCCCCATGCCCCCCCCTCCCCAAAGCACGTCTGTTCTTCCCAGTCCACCAACCGCTGCCGCTGCCCCAGAGCTGCTGAAGATAAGGCTGGGAGTGTGAGCAAGGGGGTCCTTCAGGAATGTCTTCCCTGCTTCCCTTTGCAACCCCATCCCGCACCGTGGCCAAATACTCCGGTTCTGGGATTCTGGTCGTAACTGGTCTGCTTCTTCTGGCGCCAAGCTGTATGTGAAGGTTTGGGGGCATGTTTTGTTTTGTTTTGTTTTGTTCATATCTGAGATGAAGAAGTCTGCGGTACATTTCTCTCTCTAGGCCAAGGGACTGGATTTCTCCTATCATCACCAGTGTTTAACACTTTAATATGCAATCCCCTCATCTTTTTCCTATTGATCTGTCTCCATTGTCTGCTGCTTGGAAGCAAGGGGTACTAACACCTGGGAAATGGGGACAGGGCTGTCAGGCCAACTTCAAAGCCTCTTGCTTCCCTTTCCCTCTCCTCCCCTCCAGTTCAAATCTCCAGCTGTCTTCACTGGTGTGTTGGGGGGTGGGGAAGGGTGAGACAGGATGTGACATAGGTACAGAGAGACTGAGTGTCCACTTCTTTTGTGTAGGAAACTTAGTCCAGGTCTTTTGTCTCTAGAGCGTATTCTCAGTCAGTCAGTAGAATTTGGTTCCCTATAATAGTAACAACACAACGAAAACAAGTCCCCCTTGTGGTTACTCTCAACTCTGGAAGCTCCCGAGTCATCTCTTCACCCTGTCCCTTTTCTGCCCTTTCAAAAGGTACCACAAAAGATCTTTTTAAAAAGAGAATTAAAGCCAGAAGCCCCATTCTTTATACATATACAATCTGGACTTATGAAATGCTTCTTTTGAAGCTGGTCTCTTTAGAAATTTTGTTGGTTATTTAAGGAAGAGGGGGAGTGGGTCCCACTAAAATACCCTAGGAGTGGGGGAGAGAATAGAGTTGGGGGATGCAGAGAGAGGAACTGGTTGCTGAGAAATGCAGGGGCTTGGAGAAGGACTCTGCGCCCACCCCACCCCACCCCCCAGAAGCCCCTGAAGACTATTTCTGCACCTCCACGAACTAAGCAGAGCAGGAGGAGAAGGGAGAGAGGAGAGGTGGGCTGTGGGTAAGTGTGTGTTCTGGGGGGGGGGCTGGTTAGGGACTGTAGATACAGCAGATACAGATGTGAATGTGGGAGAGAGAACTAGCTACTATTCCATTTGTGGGTTGGGGGGAACCTATTTTGCAGGAAAATTTCTCCTCCTGAAGGGGAAGGTCATAGTGGTCCTTTGAGCCTGAAATCGAAAGACCCCCTTCCCCCTCCTGGTCACGTGATTCATTAAATAATTAATGCCGAGGTTGCAGAATAGATATGTATTCGTCAGGAAAATCGCAGGCTCGGTCTCCCTGTTTCTGACGTGCAATTCAACTGTCCTTTGAAAAACAAGCCTGTACCCCGAGAAAAAAAAGAGAGGGGGAGAGAGAGGGAGAGAGAGAAAAAGAGAGGGAGGCAGCAATAAAACAGCCCCGCAGCCGGAGCCACACCGCGGGCTGGGGTATTGTAAGTAGAAGGGATTTCTCACTACCTACCGCGTCTTATATATCCATGTAAATTTATTGTTTGTTATTAATGTTATTGTCGTAAAATGTGACAAATAGCCATCTTCATTTCCTGCC